AAACGGATACCTTGTAGAGAAGGATCTCTCTCCATATATGGAGAAAAGAAAATAATCGCAATTCGGTTTCTGGGTTACAATTTATATATATTTTTTAAAATTAAGGAATGGTTTTACGGGTGAAAAATGAAACCTGATGATTGCATAACTTGAATTACTGTTTAATACTGTTGAAGTGTTGTTTAAAATCCTAGATCAGACACTTCACTTCTTGACTAATTTCAGTTTTTCCCTGAACACATTCGCATGTTTTTTTTTTTATAGAAAAAGTCAAAGTTAGGGAATCTGGACTTGAACATGGCGACAATAGAAATGGATCTGCTGAGTATTTTCTCTTGGGTCTCAAAATCTTGATACACTTTTTGAAGAAGTTCTTGTTTGCGTTTATCGTGAATATTTAGGTTGGTTAGCCTTGGTTAATATAACTCAATCACTATCTGAAAAAAATTGAAGACTTTCGTCAATTTACTGAGTTCGGGATTCGGTTCAATAACTGTTGATGTTTACGGCGAACACTTGCGATACTTTACTTTAAAGTAATGTACTAACAGGTTAGCTAGGTTGCCATATTGCTGAAACACTAATATTCATTGGAAATGTATATAAGGAAAAAACGTAGGCGGAAACAGACCTAAACCCGTTAACCACATTCTACATCATTCCGTGTCTTCGTCACGGAAATTCGTGATCCGGAATAATGTGGATTTTTGTGCTCATAACGGGAATAATCAAGGTTGTTTAAAAAAATTCTAATAAGTGTAAGATTGGATTCCTATACGGATGTGACACCGGTTGAAGGCTGCCATTTAACTGTTAACTGTTAATTTTTCTTATCCTGTTTGCCTCGAACCAAAACCTGCTGGTAAAGAGGCAACATAACTTGTTCTGACAGTGACCTTTCTGTATAGGAGGCATTCCTTCGCGGAAGTGAGTGTTGTTAATATTCTCAGGCTATGAACAAACTATACTTTTATGAGTTCAATGACCTAATATCACTGCGGGGCCCAAACAAAAATACAGACAATTTGACTCAGGGACACTTGAAACTCAGAAGTCTGCCCTGATCCACCTCTGGCTCTTAATTATTGTCCATGTCTCAAGATATGCTGGGAACTTCCCATAATTTATAGAAAATGGAAGAAAATGAATTCAAATATTTTGATCTACACAGCAGTACCTTGAACAAATGAGGTATGTATATATTCACATCTAATAAAAATGGATTTTATTATAAATTTACTCTTCTTTGTGTTACAAAACAGGCTATAAATATGTTTGTGCTTCTTTTTTGTGGAGTTTTTCCACCATTTTTGCACAGTAAGTATATAAAAAGAGTGAGTTTTCATTGTTCTTTGCTTCTTGAGCTCATTCTTTTCATGCCAAAGGATCACATTCTGTATGGTTTTCTTCTGCAAAAATTTGTTCCCTGTACCTTGAAGTTAAAAAACAATTTTTCTTCAATGTCTTCGGATGACACGTCATTCCTATTTTCTAATAAACTGGAGAACCAAAAATATATGCTTCTATTGTAGTCTACGAGAAAATGTGATCCAACATGTGGATGTACCCAAATAAGGACGCGGTCCAAACACAAATAACATCTGAATTTGTTATTGTCAAAAGTATCAAATATCAATAAAGGACTGTATATATTTCAACCATCAAAAGTTTGTCTCTAATCTTACGATTTCTACCTCGATGAAGGGGAAGAAAAATCAAATAAAGGAAGGCAAAGGGCAGGGGGGGGGGATTCATATATTTATGAACAAGATAAGGTCATAAATTTTTTTAAAGAAGCGGAGGGGGAGGGGGTGAATTTAGTACCAGAACGAGTAAATATATTTATCAACAAGCTTTGCCATGTGTGTACGATAGTATCCTCAAAATGTGATTTTCCTTTAAATTTTATCTTCCAATGGAGCAGCAGTACTGCCAGAAAAAAAAAATATAAAAAAGGCATACACATGAAAAAAAAAACACAATAGGTTTTGATGTAGTACGTCCAGTCGTTTGTGCATTATATAAGCACAACTTTCGCAGTCGCTTTTATGCACTACAGTTTAATGCCACTATTGACATCATGACTGAGGGAAAACCCTGATGCAATTACAATACTTTATTATTATCACAGTTGATGTTCATGCTGTGATTGGGAAGCCATCCCCAACTGGGAGCTGGTTCCAGGTTTTGTTGGCGGCCCAACAAGATGACGCTGTTCCCATTCGTCGGCAATACAAACAGTGAGTTATTCATATCAACCGATTTTGAGCTTTCCCATCATAATCCTGAATAATCAGTGAATCCTCTCATGCGTCGAGTTTTAAAAGTTTGTCAGTAAACAGCCCCATTTGATCCTTTGAGAGCAGGTCTATGTTAACAGAGCGACGTTGAATACTTCAGGAATCAGGATAAACGCTAATTCGTTCCATTTATTATCTCTTGCACACTTTGGAGACGATAGAAAGCTGCATCAGATGTGTTCCCACTTTAAGAAAAATACCCCATCCTTCAATGAAAATTTTCCATCCGGAGATTTTTCAAGGCGAAAATTCGCACAGCGTTAGAAAATTTTAAAAATTTCAAAAAGTGTTGCGCATTAACTTCTGAGTTATTTTTTCCCGTAAATCAAGAAAACTTTTTAAAGTAGGAAAATTGTGCATATCAGAGAGTTACGAACTTGAAAATGCCAATTATTTTACTCACGTGTCACAATACCACAGTACGTATAACTTTTCGAATTCTTCACAAGATGAAGGAATTAATGGGTTTGCGACGAACACAATGTATTATTTCAACTCAAACTTAATCTTTCGGAATTTTTCATTTAAATGCGTCCTTTCGACATATGGAAAGAATCCATGAATGAATAGAACATGTACTTTTTTATATGTTCGGTTCCTGGAAATTGCGTGCGTTTGAAAAGTGGAGTAGAATGTCTGAATCTATATATGCATTCTGTGAGAAATTTGAAATCAACTCTTGAATATTCGAAAATGTCCACAGATAGGGGAAACGTCTATTCTACTCTTCCGTTCATAAAGCAAAAATTTACACGAGAAACAAACACAAAATAAACTAGAATTTCGCCATGAAAATTGAAGCGATGAAATGAACGCAGAGACGAGCTGATGATGGATTTTGCACACTTTGATGAATCCTTCCGTATTTAAATATTACACGATTTCCACACGATAATCAAAAATCCATTTTTTTCTGCTTGCGAAAAGTCGGTGTCGAATAAGTTTTCAGTCTTCAATTTCTCAACATGTTCAGCTCTCTTCAGCTGACTTTCCGCATTTGCTGATTGCTCATATTTTTTAAAAATATATATACAGTTTTTATTTTCTGGAATAAACCTAAGCTGCTACGCTTATATGAAGTCGAGTATAGTAGAAAAACTAATTCGATCGTGGGAAAATCGTTCATGATTCGGAGGATGCTTGATTAAGTTCAGAGGAAGCAATATTTTTTTATATTTCTTTCTTTTAAAATAACAAAATTTCTTGTGGAGGCATTCAATTGTGGCTTTTTTTTTGTATATGTCCTGGATTCAATGGTAATTTTTTGTCACTATAGAAAGTGGCAAAACTTCCCGAGTTTTTGATACGACAGTTTCCAAGACCATCACGCATTTATCTGTGATTTCTTCCCATATTTTATATGTTGGTTTCTCTAAATAAGTCGATTTTTTCTGGGTTCCTCTGAATTCGACGTACAGAAGTCCAAGTGCATCTCTTATTAAAATAAATGTTTTTGGTCATAATCAACGGATTGGCTGATTGCCCGCCACAAATCTTTTTTTTTCCACAGCACCAAATGTGTTGCTGTCCTTTGTAGGGTTCCCTATTATGGTTTAAAACCTGCTTAATTCAAAAAAAAACCCAACTCATTACCATCAATCTTTACTCTTATCTGAGTTTCGATCCTCCAAGTATCTAATTATTGAAGACATCTACGCAGGTTGTTGGAATATGACACGGAAAACCCAGTGGCCCTTGCAACAGCAGCAAAATCCCCGGAAACGAGAGAAAAATACAGCGGGGAATTGGACGACGCCGGGAAACCCGTGATAATCAGCCACAACTACAAAGAACATCACCTGAGTGCCAAAGACCGCCAGCAGATATTTGAGGCGCCGTTTCATCTCCTGAACGCGGATAAGGGCGAGGTCACGTATTATCAAATTGCGTCGCCGTTTCGCCGCCACGACTTCCGCCTCCCAAAGGACCCGCTCATCCTGGCCTCGAAATCTTGATTTAATTTCCAATTGTGCGTATGATTGTGCCATTCCCATTAGAAATTGTTTATGCATTGCTGCTCAAAAATGGCTGGTTCATGCCTCATCGACGCCATGTGATTTATTTCTTTTGTCATCACACTCTGTGTTGGATGATGGTTGAAATGAGTTTTTTTTTATTTTTTTATATATGATCATGAAAATAACCCTTTGGTACATGATATCATAGCTCTTTTGACTAAGTCACGGTTAAATTGTCAATGATGTCTGAGCAATGCAATTTCTGCAGCATAAATACATTAGTTAATGCATTGCCAGAGCACCACGTTTTCTTATGCCTATGCATTCCATTTACTGAAATGAGCTTCAAAAAGATCTGGGACTCTTGTAATTAAATGAAAAGACTCCCAAATCTTAGAGGACCAAGGTGAACTATGAAATTTATATGATTTCTCCTCAAAAGATGTTCTCCAAATTGTTTAATCAATATAACTAAAACTTATTTGGGAGCCAGACTGAACACCTTGTGCTTTAATTTGTGTTCAGTAATTGCCTCATGTAGAAATTTTTTTATTACTAATATTTTCTTTTTGTAATTGGGAAGGGAAGAAAGTGTAAGCATTTAGAACAGTTGTGCAATTGGGCTTTTTGGGATGTATTTTCTTTTATTTTGATATTCATATGCAGCTTATTTCTCTGTTCACCATCCTGATTTGATGGACTGTGTTGAAATGAATGTGGATGGGGAAGGGGTTTGGATGTGGGAACGTTGCTTGAACCTTATGAATGATGAAATGCTGTGGAAAATAAATAAGATTGTTGATCAATCAATCAATCATAAAAATATACATGGCACAGTATGAAAATATGTGTTCATAAAACACAGTGAAATACAGAGTACTGTAATAAAAAGATTTTATAGACTTGAAAATTTTTTCGTCAGACTCATTATCCTCAAGAAATTCATTTCATTTATTTGCCAGACATTTTTTTTTTCATTTACAGTATTTGGCCAGCATTGCTATAAGAATGTTCATAGTCTTTAATCATTCCAAAATTTGGAAAAATGGCTCGCGACAGAAGGAATGCCAGTTCCAAAATCGAATAATTTATTCTGATGATAAATTTTCTGAAAATGTGTGTGTGTGTGTGTGTGAGGGGGGGGGGGGGTCAGAATTTCATTTCCCAATTGGCGTTCATGGCTACGTTTAATTTTGTCCCCTGTTCGAGAAAGAATAACCGGTTCGGTATGATCAGTAAATTTCTCTTCAAAAAATAAACTCCGTAATTTGTCAACCTCTCAGGTTTAAAATCTAGCGAGGAAAACAAATTTTGAATTAATTAGAGAACATTTTTTAATGTATATAAGGAGGGGTTTTATGAAGAACGAGTATTATCACCTTATAAAAATGGCGGCACTACATTTAAAATTGAGGAAGAGAAAAGATAATAAGCGGAATTGAGGTTCCTTGAGGACGTTAACAAACTTAAACGGGAATAAGGTATTTGTGCTGCCTCAGTTAGTCCAGTTATTTATTTTAAATGTTTCTTTTTTGTTTGACAGCGTTCACGAAGAGGCAAAAAATTTCATGAGAACCGCTGATAGTTTGTATTGCGTTCGCAAATGTGTCCGAAAACGGGACCATGTCTCATTGGACCAGGGCAGCAGTCGTCTTTTCAAATAATGAGACGGTTATTCCACTGAAAAAAAAATTCTTTTGGGACTTCCTTTTGGCGTTCGCTTGCTGAACTATTGAAAAGAGAATTTGTGATTTATTGGATTGGAAAACTTGTGGTACACGTTTTCGAATATACTTCATCATGAGATCAATGTATATATAGACCTAATAATTGTAACGTAGTATTTTTTGCCTCTAAATTTCATTCATTCATTTTACCTAGAACTTTCTCGTGGGCCTTCCTAAATTTTTATTTTATATTTTACCGTTCATTATCCTACTTCTGAAAAGGCTCTTGAAGATACTGCAATGAATCGAGAATCCGTGAAATGTATGAGAGAAACGGGTGAACTTGAACTCCTCTAACCCCTGCTGCTATTTTTTTTTAATGATTATACCAACAACACAAATCTAATTTTTCTTTCTTGATCCGACGCTTCAGTTGATGACATGTCAGCATCCATTTAAAGTTGTATTTTTGCCGGTTTTCATTAAAATACAGTACAATCAAAAAAGCTGGATCGATGATCCCCGGACATGTCTCGTTACTACAGTATAGGCAAATTGAAGAATAGCGACATCTGTTGTGTTTATGCAAAGATGCAGCGTAAGTTAGTTTTGTTTTGCTCTATGTAGATGGGGCTGTACGTGTGCAATAATACCCGATACATTATGTACGATATGCTTTTTTCCTTTTAAACCTTGTCACCCTCTCAATGGTGGACCATCGAGCTGTACCGAGCTTTCATGTATCGCCAAATGCATGCAAGCAAAAATGATATAACCGTGAGAATAACAATTAATAAATAGAGAATAGAAAAGTATGAAAGAACGTCGAGAATGCCCCCCAGGACATATCATCACTTATTTCTTTCAAGAAAAATACTAAAATAATCTTTCAAATATGAGTCCTTCCGGAAAAGTGGTCTCGCATTTTTTTCAGATTGCAAACCTCAATTTTGGAAGCAGAAAGATTGTATATATACCATCAAGCAGTTGTATGCGAGCAAATAGTTTTAGTGATATCTGTTTCAATAAGGGTATGAAAGTTGCATCCGAAATTTTTCCCGGTATTATTTCCGTTTTTTATAACATTTATTTCTTGAGTTTTCAAAGTAAAACATCTTTTAAGAGTCAATTTTATAGATCAATAGAAAAAATTAACACAGCAAATGTTTTCTGCATTCCTGAAATCATCACGAAAAAATGAATAAAAATAAAACTCAGCAATTTGATCATGGTCCAACATTTTTATGCCGTTTTGATGCAATGCCATATTTCAAAGAATAATTTTTCTAACGAAAATGTGCACGAATCGCCAACTTTTAATGGAATGCTCAACAATACAATTAAAAAAAAATTTCTTGAACAATTTTTAATCGTCTCATCTATCGCCTTCTCAGCGACTCGAAGAATTTGCCCTCACAATAATTCACTGCAGAATTCATAGAATTATCAACAGTCGGTGGTTTCCATCAGCAAGCTACTCTGAGTCTGAATTTAGCTTGCAAACACTATAACGAGCAAACTTCAATCACCGGGTTATATTGCATGACTCATTCATAATTGACCTAACCAACAAAATTCACCCCAAAAATGTCTCGAAATACAAATCTTCGAATACCGTGCAAAATGGAATCGAACAATGAAGGAGCCCTTTTTCATTTTTCGGGGGCAGAACTTGACATTGGCTTGCATAAGGAACAGATGTTGGATGTATATATATAAATATAAAGACGGGTCAAATATTGATGCGACTTCGAAGCTCAGTGGGAAATCTCGGGTGCTATCTCAAATAAAAATACACCTACTGTTGATCGAAAAAAAAGAAGAAACATGATAAGGATCAGTGTGGAACACGCAGTCACAGCTATAGTCAACACCAGCAGCCAACCCGCAAAGTCAAGTAAAAAAAAAAAGCACACATATATTTTTATATATATTTAAAATTAGCTCAGTGATGCGAATATTTGTCAGACTTCGACGAGCGAGGTGCAGCAAAAGAAAATCCTGAAATACGGAGCGGCGAATGGTGTATAAACTATACATAAAGAGTGAAGAAAAAGTCTAATTCATTTTTATGAATCAATGAAAAATCGCAGCTCAACCATCAGAGGAATGAAAACTTCCGCTGGATAGTGTAAGCCAAATACACCACGTCAAAGCGGTGACTATATACTGGTCTCCGCCATGAAGACTGTGCAGCTTTGGGCAGTGCTTATTGGCCTGCTGAAGTGGTGCGTGATTTTCGACATCGCCGATAATAGGGTCCATTGCAGTAATAGTGACAGGGTTCTCGACAATAATAACCCACCGGAAATCAGCAGCAATACCAACACTTCTTCAGGTGAGGTTCAGTGCGAATTATGTGTACGTTTTTGGCCATTCTATCCCTTTCTGCAGCAATATTGTGATATTTACGCAAAATTTCGTGCCCGTGAGCGCTGAAATTTTTTTTTAATTAAGGCCGAATTGGGAGGAAGTCTGATGTTTTTTCTTTGCCCGCACAAAATTTGGCCTGAAACAAAACGGCTTAGATGAATTATTCTTCAAAAATTTCCCAAAAATTTGGGGTTTTGCAAAATATTGTCCCCATTAAAAGCTGAATTTTTTTTAAATCAAGACCTATATAATAAGTTGGGAAAAAGTTGGATATTTTTTCCTTTCCCAAAAGAAAATTTGCCTTGAAAAAAATGTCCTCACTCGGTGTTTTTTTCTTCTTCGTGAATTCCTATATAGGCCTGCTTTTTTCGAATAAGATCAGTGCATGTTTTAGTGAGTTTTCGAATTTCCCGAATCAAATTTCCTCATCTAAATGAAAATTTATAGGTTCCGATTATTCTATTCCTAAGAGGGTTGAGAGTCACTGGTTGATTGGATGGTGTAATTGGATGATCCTATGTTTTTTGCCTCTGTATATTGGAGCAAAAACACGATGTGCTAAAGTATTCAGAAATTTGGAAAATCAAGCCAACTGTAACTATGAAGAAGAATTTTTTTAAAAATGCTGTATCAGTATAGGTTTCAAATTTCCCTCTTTAACTTTTTCACAGGAAATACACAACTTTAGAATAAGAAGACCATTTACTGTACTGTATATGTATTTGTGTTTTTGTGATGCATTCTTTGCAGGATTGACCCCAATATCCTATTTAAAAAATACAGTGAGGCCCCAAAATACAGATACCCAGAAATGTAGACAATTATTCGACTTATTAGGGACAGCTAAGACTAGAAATATATGCCCCAAGATTCAGACAATGCATTGAGATACACACACTTCTCAAAAATTTCTAGAAAAATCTTCAAATTTTTTTTTTAAATTTTGACATCTCTGGATTAACAACATAATCTATCTATTTTCAAAAATATTATTAGTCATAAAATACTTGAAATCATTATCGAAAAGGCTAATTTTGTGATTCTTTCAGGTTTTTTTTTCATAATGTGTGTACAATATAGGTAGACTTGTTTTTGTTGTTTGCTTCTGGAGCTTGTTATGATGCCAAAAAAATCACCTTCTGTTTAGTTTCCTTCTGCGCAATAATATTCTGGATCTTGAAGTTGAAAAATCCTTTTTTTACAATGTTTGGGAATTTGTTTTCCAATGTTTAATGAATATACAGGAGAACTATAATAAAATATGCTCTCATTGAAGAATATTGGAAAACATGTTTGAAAAGATGGATTTTATTCCCTGAGATAGGGACAAGGTCATCATGCAAGCACCAATCATGTCCACATCCTGGGGCCCTAATGTACAATATTTTTCAACAGTTAAAATTGAGAGACCCTTTCTGAAAGCATAGCTAATCAAGATAAACTGTTGGCCTTATATGATTTCTTATCAAATATTCTTTCTAAATTGTTCATTCAACTAAACCTTATCTGGGAACAGGTTGAAGACTTTTTGTGCTTTAAATTGTGTTCAGTAATTGCTGCAATTGCTATACTTCTGGCTTATGCTGCAATTCTTGTTACTGATATTTTGTTTTCAATGTCAGGGAAAGAAGTGGGTGTACGCATATACATCAGTTGTGCAGTTGTACATTGTGGAATGTACTTTCTTTTATTTTGGTATCCATATACAGGTTCTTTCTCTGTTTCCCATTCTGAAAGGATTGAATGCGTTTGAATGGATTTGGGTTGGGTGGGGATGAAGTGGTTGGGATGTGGGAATGTTGATTGAACCTTGTGGATGCTGAAAAGCAGAAAATGAAGCTTTCTGTTCATTCATTCATTCATTCACTGTTGAAATTGAAAGATGACATGAGAAATTTCAATGATTAAAAAACAAGAAAAAAATAAGAAACATCCCTGCATTTCAACTCATTCATGCGATTCTTTTTCTTCTTCTCTCGATTTCACAGCATTTCGTAGCCCGCCTTTCAGCGCCTCAAAGTGGCTCGCCGGGAAATCCCACAACATGAAGCGACTCAGCAGCGTAGTCTACAAACAAAGGCAACCCGTGGCTCATCATCACGAAAGAAACCAAACCCATCATCTCAGCAAAAGGCCCTGGATCAGGCCCATCAACAGGAACTTCAATCCCAGCAGCTTCCGACCAGCAGCAGCAGCAGCATCAGGTCTACCTTCTCCAACACAAAGCCTCCTAAATCCCGAAGACGGCCACGAGGATGACGTATTATGCGAAAATTCTGCTCATCCAAAGAGACCATTATTTGCCCGACCGCTTCAAAAGGTCTTTCAAAACCCTGCAGCTGAATCTCATCACAATAAGCAGCATGTGATCCCGTCACTGAGGATCCCTGATACTGACGCCGAAAGGATCCCCGTGATCGGCATGCTGCCGCCTGACGTAATTGCTCAAGATCAGCAAACGAGACCCGGGATCGATGATGGTCAACATCAGCATCAGGAAATTACTATTCAGAGAAAGCCTTCGTCATACAATCACAAATTCCAACAGCAGAACCATCAGCAGCACCCGGGTCAGTTTACCAGAATGCCTCAGGAGAAACCCGTCATTATTCCGCAACCCGGCGCGCCGTCATTAAATTCCGACGTGCAATCAGTCGTCCCAACAGATCCCAATCATTTCGGGGTCCATGAAAAGCTTCATCCCCGAATGGAAGTGAACAATGATAATCAGCAACAATCATCATTAGTTGACCAACAGCAGCAAAATCCAGCAGTGCCGCCGAAACCCCAAACCTCGGCCAGCGTAGAACCCGTCGTGTTTGAAAACCCTTCGCCGATAACAGAAATCCCGATGATTTCAGTCAATGACTTATTGGTAACTGCGGTACCAACAGAAGTGGTACCACCAGAACAAGAAAAGTGCGAACCCATCCTCAGCAGTGGCAGCAATAACATGGTCTCAGTGACGCCAATGGTTCCCAATAATAGTCCCAATAACGAACCCGTCGGACCCAGTAGTGTTCAAAGTTTCTCTTCCAAGAAATCCTTGAAATTCCTGCGACGGGCAAATTTCGGAGGCAGCAGCGTTCACTTGGGGAATTTGAAAGTGGTCGAAGACCATCCTGAAATGCATTTTGAAAGTGCGGAAGAGATTCAGAGGAGCCCAGCTGAAATCAATAATGAAACCGTCAAGGTCGAGACGAATAAATCAACAGCAACTGAAAGTGGAATACCTGAAGTGATTCCTCCGGGTATTTGGATTGACAAGCAGGATGGAAAGGGACTCAAACCGATGATTAAAGCGTGATATGTTGATATTTCAAAAGAAACTTTTAATTTTATTTTTCTTAAAGATCCTCTTCTGTTTCACGCATTTTTAGGCTGCCCAACACATTTACTGCCAAAATTTGCCATGCGCACATTTTTGCAGGGGTTTTCTTCATTAACACCTATATATACATGATTTGGGGCAATTTTTTCATATTTTCAGTTCCAAAAGTTTATCAAATACTGTACTTAAAATTTCAACTTAATCCCTAAAATTGGGATCATGTCTGATACTACGCAGTATTTTAACGTCGGCAGTGGGAGGAACAACCAGTGGGATCCTACAGGGGTCTGGGGGGGGGGGGGGATAATATGGATGTTGTGTAACATGTGTCTGTGGCCTTTTGCACCTTGAATTAATTTGCCTACTTGAAAACACATCAACTAACATTAAGTTGTCAGGATGGCCAAGCGGTCTAAGGCGCTGCGTTCAGGCCACAGTCTGGTTCTGCAGGCGTGGGTTTGAGTCCCACTTCTGCAATTGTTTTTTCATTTTTTTCGTTTTTTTGTCCGCACTTTGGACGCTCTACTACTTGTTATTACTGCATTGAGAAGAGCTTGTCGTATGAAAGGAAAACCATTTTTTAAATTATTTGGAAAAGAATAAATATTAAAAGTTGAATGTGAGCGCAAAAATCCATTTTGAGAAATTTATGATGCTAGAATGTCCCAAAGGAAGTCACAAACTAAAAAATTCGAAGTTTAGGATATGTTTATGATGCAAACAGCAATTCTGAAGGTTTTATTTTTCTTAAAGCACAAGAATCTCCACTCCTCATTAAGTCCATCAACAAAATAATTTGTCAAGATTTTTCTAATACTACATGATGAGATTCAAAAGCTTTAGGAGCATCTTCAAACTCAAGAAAAGAAAAAACGCTTACTCTTATGCATATAGACAACATTTTCGCATAATAAATTAAAAATCAATCTCATGCACATCATGTGTTTTATCCTCGCCGAAACGAATGGGAATTTATAAATCCTTATATTACTTATACGAAAGAAAGACAATTTCAAATTTTAAAATGACAATAACTGGTGTAGGACGCCACATATTGCGTCTCATAGACACAATGTGGCGTAGCACAGATCTCTTTCCTGGCAGACTTTGGCACGCCGAAGCGTTTGGCACTCTTTGCTAACAGTAAATGCATATTTTTCGGCGACTGAGGCCAAGGGAAAGGTTGGCACTTATTCAACTGCCGCTCTTTTCGGGCGATACGCAAAAAAAAAAAAAAAAAAAAAGATCAGCGGAACCATCTGACAGCAAGGAAATCTACGAAGGTCTTTTCTTTTCTGTGCCACTCCCACAGATTGCTTTTGTGCTTGGTGCTCATTGAAAAAAGGATTTTATTCATTTTAACACGTTTTTATTAACTTTCTGGTCCGTTTGTTTGTCCAGATCAAATTTTGCAACTCAAATTTCGCTCTCTTCCCAACTAGCTAGCAAGCTGAAACTTTCAGGATAGCTTAGAAACAGATTAGAAGTGAAATACAAATGAAATAGATGCGCACCACGTTTAAAGTTATTTTTTCCTTTTTCAAAACGTGGTTTTTTAGTTTAATTTTTTAATCTACTAAATTTTTTTTTTTAAATAAACAGTATCACATATATTACACAAGCAGGTTTTTTCTTCTGTTCCAAAACGCTATAAAAATTACATTGAACGCAAATTTTTATTCCATTGATGTCGCATCAATATCTTTTCCAGGCTCAATAATAAGTAACACTTGTCTGATTGAGATGCACAACCCAAATTTCCAGCCTGAAATTTGGTTGCAATTATTATCCCCAGCAGTCCCTATTTGCGAATCATCATGCTCCAAATTTTTTTAAACTATAAACAAAAACGTTTCCAAAAATACCATCAAACTTCTCTTTGATGAATTCCAAGGGACGGGCAAAAATTCGACTTACCAAGTTTTAGAGTTTGGGAAAATACCGTACTACCTTTGCTGTATAAAATGAAGAATCGAAGGAAGTGAAAATTGGTGGTATTACAATATTTGTACACTGCTTAATTGAACGCGAAATGATAAGATGCGGAACTTATTCAATTCATTCGCCTAAATAATCCCTTACTTACCGTTTGAAAAGCTTCAAGTTACATTTGCATTGCTTTCCTAATTCCTAGGTTCTCAAAAATGATACTCCAAAGGTATCCAGAAAATTCAAATTATACAGGTTTGAAGGAGAAAACGTTCAATTTATGGAGGCAAATAATAAATCACTTTTCAAGGTGATTCACATTGGAACTACTGTAGAAATATTTTAACATCTACAGTATACATGAAATCGTTTGTGTTGCTGTTATTTGTGTGCCCAATTTGAAAATTTAAAAAAGTAATTCCAGTTCCTCCCAGGCAAGAGCGAACCCTCTTGGAGCATCAACCAGAAAACAAATACTTTTTCATATAAGTCCATATATAAACAGATGGCTTCCTATGATAATTGCAGTAAGACCTCGAGCGGCATAAATTCCTTTAATTTAACTCTTATCAGAAGATATGCACGAAGTCTGAGTAAAATTGCAAAATTGAAACAAAAAGTACCGTGTGATTAAAAGCAGTTTCAAGGAAAACTAGGGTAATCCCGAATGCATTTTCTCTTAATTCCTACGAATCCTACCTATAAAACACAGGGCTAGGAAACACGCACCTTTTGTTCTCACTGTAAGAGCGACATCTACGTAGTCGGACTATAGACGAATATGCCCATTTGGTCATACATAGCCAACAGTCACAACACTCACTGAAATTTCGTAGAAAAATAGAGAAAACGTAAAATATGAATAAGCGACGAAATAAAATTGAATCAAAGGGTTTGGACATAATTTTACATTCCCCTTTTGGAAGACGTCGTCTCTTTCTTCACATCATGCGTTGAATATTGCAGTACTTTTAATCTCAATAAATACTAATGAGCATCTTCTTTTTTACGCAAAGAAAAAAATATAAAGCCAAAAAGATCCTTGGCATCACTGTAACATATTTTCACAATACTCAAACATCTTGAGCGGCTTCTTTATTCCGACTGAGGGAGATGCAAACCTCATAGAATTTATTTAAAACGGCTCTTCACAAAACTTTGATGCACTAATTTGGGAAAAGAAAAATTTACAAATTCTTCAATTTAGTCCAGATTGGCAGACTGAGAAAGGCCAGTTAATTTTCGTGTAACAACAGTTAGTTCCCTATATATAAACATCCATTGGATTTGGAATACAAGGGCACCAATTTTCGAAAGAACACGGCTATACAAAAAAAAACGAAAGCAAGAAAATTTGGCCGACGAGCTGCGAAAAGTATAGAAAAATAATCACGAAAATATTATTCAGGAACACTACATTGAAACACGATCACCAGGTTCATTCACAGAATTTGGTTTATTCACAGAAGATTGCGAATAATCCTTGGAATCAAAGAGGAGCAAAAAAGAAAAGCAAAAATACAATTCGCTATCTTGACTTAAGAAAAAAACATGGCATTATTGTTTTGTTCCAACGTGAAAGAAAAAACATTTTCTGTGAGTATACTTCATTGTGAATCGAGTGTTCTTCGGAATATTTCCGTGTGTTCAAGTACTCACGTCATCTTTGGATGTTGTCCAAGACGAATTTCCGTGACGTGTTTTACGAATTAAGTCAGTTGGAGAACAGAAAAATATCTCGAAAAATACAAAAGAAAAGCATTTAAGAAAATATAAAGGAAAAAATACACACCAGATGTTATACCTAGAACTAGAAAAATGCACGAAGTTTATTTTTTCACAATTTTATAATTTTTCGATCGATCAGCAGATTTCAATATCACTGGAATACACCTTCGATGAGGACTTCACGGAACGTAATTCATTATGGTAAAAAAATGAACCATATTTTCACCCAAAAAAAAGAAGGTCATGATCACAGGGATTCATTTTTCAAAAGTTGTCCCTGACATAATTAAATGTTCATTTCCATGCGTTTGGGCAAAATTCAAAGAAACGAATAATCTCGCATTTTGCCCGATTTCATTTTATGATTCATATAATTTATGACAAATATTTCCCGTGAAACTGATGGTCACGCAAACACCGGTATCCTTTCAAATAATTGATAAATAATCCAAATTTTTCAATTATTCCCCAACACGTTTGCTAATCGACACCTTCTTTCTTTTCTGTGCAGTATATATACATTCTTCATCGTGATTCTGTGGAATAAAACATTATACGCAGCAGCGGGATTCACAACACATAAATAGGCGAGTAGAAAGAGCAATTGAATTGTAAAGCAAGAGACTTACCGAACCAGAACCAGGAAATAAGGAATGGAAAAAGATTCACTCATGACTCTGGGTCCGGGAACCAGGGATTCCAGGTCGGGTCGCCGTTTAAATTTAGCGCCCAGTTGAGTCCGCTTGGGATTTTGCCAGGACACCATTTTCCTCGGCTTTCCTGCAAGGCACTTTTTCCCCCTTTACCTGAATATGTTTTGAACACTTGTTCGTTGTGAGAAAAGGAGAAAAAAATATGTCTTATTGTATGTGAATTGAGCGTTTCAAAATCTTATTCCTCATCCCGATTTTTTTCTTTTTCAGGAAGCTATTTTTTGATCATTTTAAACTCTAAGAATAGAAATGCTAATAATTTTTCCCAGAGTGTAGCAGAAATTTTTTGCATGATCCTGTAGATGTTGACATCAGTTAATGTTAAAATGTTTCACGCTCCTGATATTTTGCAATCATGAATTGAAAAAAATAATATCTTTTGGGGGAGGATGTGCAGTCATACATACTCATAAGATCCACAAGGTGTGCAACAGCTGCAGCCATCTGGTTCGGTGCATGCTAATTTTTTGCATGGTTCAATTTGGCATGCCAAAAGTGTCACACCATCCAGGGAATGGTTGGTGATATTATTTTACTTTTACACCACAATTTTCAGCATGCATCACGGATGCAAAATATCTACAAAGAAAATCAATCATTTTTCAGGATTCCCTGAAAACTCAGATAG